ATAGTATATATCCTAACAGATATCATCATTAGATAGTGGCCAAGGACCACACATTTGCCTTTATTGTCATAATGCCACATCAGCCATGTCAGACAAATTTATGTTCACCCAGTCCATACGTGCTCTCACATCTATCTTGAACTGAGCAGGACCAGGTGGCTAGTTTCAACCAATGGACTGCGAGCTGGAGTGATGTGTTGCTTCTCTCGGCTGTGGCAGTGAAAAGTCCCTGTTTGACACTCCAACATTCTTCTCTCTGTTATGGTGATCATGGAGATAACAGATTGAGATGGATGAGCTACAAGGTGAAGTAGCCTCGTCTCCTAAGGCATCTTTGGAAGGAAGCTGTCAAATCCACAGCAGAAGGAAGCTGTTATATGGTCAGCCAATGATCGTTCAGGGTTAATTTATCATCACTACAGAACCTGGCGAATTCTTAATAAGACAGGCCCCAGAACTTAGATGCCACCTCTGAGAAGAAATGATGAGAAAAAGCCCTCCATTGGCTGAATGTTCTCTGAAGTGTTGCTGAAAAATTTACAATTGCTCAGGTTATGTTATCCACTTCAAGATAAACTGGAAATTTGGGAAAGGCACTAAGTTTTGTTACAGGAAAAAAAAAATTACATTTACTGCAGGTCTGAGTTTAAATGTGTGAGAAAAAAAAACTCACTACTGCTATATAATTATTAATATTATAAGTTCATTGCAATATAACATAAGGAATAAAGTATTTTGATGTCAAGTAGATTTGTGTCCCAGTTCTGCTACTTTTTGTGTGGCTTTGGACGACATGTTAAATCTTTCTAAAATTTTACTTTCCTTATTATGAAAAATAGAGAATAATGGTACTGAACGAATAAGGTTGTGGTGAACGTTTTTCTTTTCTTTTCTTTTCTTTTTTTTTTGAGTTGGAGTCTCACCCAGACTGGAGTGCAGCGGCCGCTCCCGGCCACCACAGCCTCGACCTGCTGGGCTCCGGCGATCCTTTTGCCTCAGCCTTCCAAGTAGCTGGAACCACAGGCGCATGCTACCATGCCCAGCTAGTTTTTGATTTATTGTAGAGACGAGGTCTCATCCAGTTGCCCAGGCGGGTCTCGAACCGGCGGGCTCAGGTAATCCTCTCGCCTCGGCTTCCCAAAGCGTGGGATTACAGGCTGAGCCACTGAGCCGGGCCAACTTTTTTCAATATATATGTTTTATTTTAAAGATGTGGGGTACAATTCAGGATTAGGTATACAAGTGGACGTCGTACACCTAAACTTTGGACCTCCCTCTGGCCCCCACTTTGCCTGGTTTGAAATCAGGTACTTGTATTGATGTTATGTGCTACCGTCCTTCAGTCCGGCAGTATCTCGCTACTGCCAATCTCTTTCTTATAGTATTTGGTTCAGTGTTCAAGGTCCGCTTATGAGTGAGAACATGTAGAACTCCCTTCTTTGTTTCTGTGATAGATCACTTAGTATGATAGATTCTAAATTGTGGTGAACTTTAAGTGGGACCATGCTATATAGTTCCTAACAGCGGATAAGCACACGGGAAACATCTGATCTGCTATTGTTTGGTTGTTCTGATGGCTGAAAATCCACATCAGAGTTCCATATTAGCTAATGGCAAGATGATTCCACAAGCCCCTGAATACATGAAAAAAGGTGATATAACAAGATGATATTTAAGATAACTAAAATGAGATATTAAGATGTGATCAGGATATTTTGTTTTATGTGTGTGTGTAGGTATATACATTATATATATGTATATATGTATTTTTCTTGCAATAGGAACCAGTGGGCAGCTAATAGAATATATCTTTTATACTTGGAAGCTTTATTTTTCTGTTTCTAAAAGGGGAAGAAATCTTTGATTATATTATTTTTAGAGCACTCCACTTATCTTGAAAAGATAAGTAAGTAGACATGGGACAAATATCTTGTAAGATGGATATTTGTCTTTTGAAAACCTATGAGTAACTTGAAAGAACAGGTATTCCAATATTCATTCTCATGTCTCCTGTGTACCATTTGATTTACAGTCTTCTGATTGCTCTCTTGTGGAGAATTGTTCTGTTTATGGCATTAAAATTGCTATCTGGGTGACAGACTTCTGCTTCTAATCTTAAGATGGCTGTCTAGTGGCTTTGCTCCCCATGGTTTATCATGCAGCTTGATAATCCTGCAGGGGGAAATGCAATTAGCTAACTACGCACCTGCTCAGTTTACAGTTTTATGAGTCTAACTTAAAGTATGATATACGTTGGGGGTTTGTGGTAAAAGTGCTTAAAAATAGAGATTTTTTTTGAGTTGGAGTCTCACTCTGTCACCCAGACTGGAGTGCAATGGCCGCTCCCGGCCACCGCAGCCTTGACCTGCTGGGCTCCGGCGATCCTTCCGCCTCAGCCTTCCGAGTAGCCAGAATTACAGGCATGCGCTACCACACCCGGCTGATTTTTTTTGATTTATTGTAGTGATGAGGTCTCCCTGCCCAGGCGGGTCTCGAACCCGTGGGCTCAGGCAATCCACTCACCTCAGCCTCCCAAACACGTGGGATTACAGGCTGAGCCACCGAGCCCGGCAAAAAATAGAGATTTTTAAATGAAGGTTCTGCATTATATAAACATGTCTTTACTTATTTTATATGTGTCTTTATTTTACATATAACTATATATGCACGTGTATATGTGTCTTTCCATCAGGGTTTTTTGTTTTTTTTTTTTTTGGGTTGGAGTCTCACTCTGTCATCCAGGTTGGAGTGCAGTGGCATGCTCACAGCCACCACAGCCTCGACCTGTTAGGCTCAGGCAATCCTTCCACCTCAGCCTTTCAAATACCTGGAACCACAGACACGCGCCCCACGCCCTGCTAATTTTTTTTGATTTATTGTAAAGACGAGGTCTTGCCAAATTGCCCAGGCTAATCTTGAACCCACGGGCTCAGGCAATCTTCTCACCTCAACCTCCTAAAGTGCTGGGATTATAGGCGTGAGCCATCACGCCTGGCCCCCATCAGGCTTTTAAGCAAATGTGAATTAAGCAATTGTGAATTCAGGATTTTGGCATATATAAAGCAGAAGACAGTAACTAGAGTCTGAATTTTGGCATTTGTTGTAGCCTCCAACCTCCTAGGTCCTTCCCCATATACCTCACAGTTTCTCTGTGATTTTTCCTCCTCCCAGTTATTTTAAATGAAGTTTTGACATTGAATCAGGATCAGATTCTATGCTGAGTGTTTCAGAAGAAGCTTACATTTCGCTTGTAGCTAGAAAATTTATCAACTAATAAATTAGAAAAAGTATGTGAAGTTTCACTTCCATTAACATTAAAGTATGTATTAACATCGCTAGAGATAAGTGTCATTATCTGCAATATTCTCTGATATATGTTGGGAACAAGCGGCGTCCTTACCAAGTAAATTTATAACACCCTGGGAAAGGTACACAATCAGTAGATTTTCCACGTGTTTTTGTTGCTGTTGTTGTTTTTAATCTTGGTACTTGTGATGATGTTGTGTTTATCGCTTATGGATGAAAAGAACCTGATTCTTCATTATAGATAAGTTGCTCCCAGGTAGTTTGAGGATGTGAAGTTTTTAGTTTGTATTGGAAGAGCAGTTGTCAAGGGACTCATGAAGACCATTGGTAGGCTTGAACTGAGCCAGTGTGTTAGCTTTAAGTATGCTGCCATCAAGGTGAGGTTTCTTTTCAGCAGATGAAGAATGACAGGTGGTTGAATTAAGTAAAGAAAGATACTTTAGTCAGAAGATGAGGCTTTAAGGGTGACTATCACCACTTAGTAATGTTTGTGTGACTCTGGTTGGATTTGCTATTTTAGTTTTAGTTTCCTTATATGAACGTCTAGAAATATTCCACTAATATTTATCTTAAAAGAGTGTAGCGAGTCAAATGAGCCAACATATGCAGAATATGTTTGTACATTGTAAAGCACTATGTCATTAGCAAGCATTGTAACTGCTATGAGGTAGCCTGGTGCCACTGGAAATTTCAATTGGACCTCAAAGCATTGAAATACACATTGTTTCATCCCCCTTTCTCAGTCTATCAATTGTTTGAAATGCGTAGTGCCCTGACATATATCACCCTGAACACTATGAAATGACAATGATTTCAGATGAATGGGTCAAAACATCCAAGGGAGGGTATGTGTGCATGTCCGTGAAAATAGCAGGAGGTATTAATAGCAGGAGGTATTATTAACAGAATCTTTAAAGTCCCATGGCTGAATAACTTTAAGAGAATTTACTCCAATGTGTTAGGTTGAAAATAAGTTTTTGTTCCCCTGATGCAGTTGACACCCTATGTAATCAAATGATCATAGTCGTTTGAATGAATGATAGAATCTTTAAGGAGAAGTTTTTGGAATCTTGAAATTCTTACTCTTTGGAGGCTTGAAGGAGTCATGTACAATATTTAAAATAAAAAAGTTATAATAAAATTATGCCAAGAAAGGATCTTGTTCATGGTATCAATGTCCTTGAAATCACTCTCACACTGTTATATGGACTTGTTTTAAGTCATTAGTCAGTTGATTGACTATTTAAGGTCTCATTCCTCTTCCCCATTGCAAGCACAGTGCTAACATTTGTTATTTTTTGGCAACAAAAGGTTTGCCAGGAGTCATTTTGTAAACTGCAATAAAAACAGAAAGAAAAATAAGTAAATAAAAATATTAATGTTATTTGGATACGACCTCCAAAATATTGTATAATTATTTTATTCCCAAAGAAACAAGCCAACTACAGTTAATTAAGCAAAGTTTGCACAGATGAGTAAGTCTGTACACATCAATAGGCATATGCACTGGATGGTAAAAACATATGGAATGTCTCCCATTCCAAACAGCCAAAGAGTCCTGAGGAATAATTAATGAGATTCATAAATATGGACAGCAGTAAGACCATTTTTACATCTTCAGATTATTGCACCCAGAACAAATCTTCCTCTTCCCCAATTGGTTTTTCTAATAACAGATTTCCGACACAGAAGAGAACATTTGTTTCATATTTTATTGAATTTCATTTATATTAAATTAAAAATATATTTCTGACAGATTCATGTAACAAAAAGGCAGAACAGTTTTCAAATTGTTCAGCTGGGATGATCAGTATGGAATGAGGCAAAGCAGTTCGCATTCTATAATTGCCTTTACGGGTACAATTCTTTCCCAAGAGCCAAAAGAGGATCCTTGAGAACTAACTGAAAAGCCTAATCACATAAATTTAAAACACTGTTTCTCCCTCATTCTCAAATAACAATAGAAATAGGGGGAAGGAAAGAGAATGGGCAAAGGGTCAGAAGGAGAAGAAAGAATAAGGGAAATTATACTAAAAATATACCTAACATTAAAAAAGTTAGTATGTGTTAGGTGCATAATCCTTCATAGATAAAATAGAAAATAATTAAAACAACATGACACCACACACAATTGGCATATCCTATTGTGTAAGCGAGCGCAGAGGTTGAACACATCACAATAGTGCAGAACACAGAATCACAAGTAATGTCAAATGATAACTTCCAACCAAAAAAGAAACAATCACAAGTCAATTACTTATATACAAATTAACTCTAAAGACAATTATGTTCCAAATAAAGATGTCCACAAAAGAAAATCAAAGCAACATTATCCTTATTTACAAATGCAACTAGCCATGTCTTTAACAAGCTATAAAAATACTATTCACATTTTCAAACATACAGTAGTATTTTTTGTTTGTTTATTTCAAAAAGGCAGCTAACTTTGAATGCGTGGATTTAAATGAAACATTGATGGCTTACCAGCAAGGTACTTTTGCACCCCTGTCCTTTGAAGACACTTCACAAGTGAGAGGGCTTGTTTTCTGTTTACAAGTTAAGAAAATAAGGAAATGAATACAAATGTATATAATACCTTAAGCCTCTGCTTTTTCAATAAAGTGTCTCCCTATCCCACCCAAACTGATTTTAGAAAACGACTTTGATGCGGGTATGAGTGTGTGAGAGACAATTTCACATGACTTATTTTTTTGTGCTGTGAATTATCTTGCACGTTGATCTCATTTTCATTTGATCTGATTGTAACGGTCCTCAAGAAGGAGATGAATGAGTCATACCACATGAAAATGTGGTTTCAACATGCAGCAATGCTGCCCCTGGTGTTCCCAGCATGAGAAGGAGACACACCAGCCAGTGAGATGTGCATTCAAAGTTAGCTGCCCTCACACAGCTGCTCCGTTTAATAATCGACCCATTTAACAGCAGTACCAGTTTATGCTACATATTTCAAAGTACCTTACTTTAAAAGAACAGCTTACATATCTACATTTAGAAAATGACTTTCGTAATTGATTACTGGAATAATCCCAAAAGGGTTCTTGGAGTGCTATGGTTGTAGTCCCCTCACTCCCCCCTCCCAGCCCCTGAGAGATCCAGAAATATACAGGAAAATGACTCTCACATTAAGGGAAAAAGCACAACTCCCCATTAACTGAAAAATCTGAAAATGATACTTGAACACCAGGTTTATGTTGATATATAGGAGGTATGATTTGCTTTCCTTCGAAAAAGCTACAGGCCTGGAGGAAACATCTACACATTAGGGATAAAAATAGCAGTAAAGGCAAAGTGGTTTGGACAAGTTAGACTATGGCCTACAGGTATGAAACTTTGTTTTCCTATGCTTGTGTTTTTGTACAAATATAACCACTTCTCATGATATGGGAAAAGCTCCCTAGAGCATTAAAAGAAAAATGTCCTTAAGGAGAAAAAGTGGAGAAAGAATGGCATTCTATGAAACACATGAACTTTCATTAAAGTAAAAATGCGCTCATTACATTTTTGTTAGATGAATTAATGATCCAAAAAAAAAATAATTGCAGGTGGTTCTCAAAGCTGAATAACCTTTGCCTTTATGAAAAGGTAACTCCTCATTTGGAAAAAAAAATTACAGCAGCTATCAAATATTTACTATCAGAAATAAAATAAGATGAATAAAGTAAATAGGTTAGTTTGCTGGTTAAAAATAACTTCTCGGTCATATGTATCATTTTTATGGAACGATTAAATTGAAGACCTACCCAGGCTATGTGTATATTCGCAGGTTTCAAAATTCATTACAGGACTAATTTGTCTCAAATTCCTACAGAGAAGAACATAGAGAATCGATCTTCATGGAAAAACCCAATTTTAATACTGTAAAATATTATCTGTGCAGTAATTTATTTGAGAAATAATTTTAAAAATGTCCAAATTGCTAAGCTCTTTTATGAAAAAAATCAGGCATTTGAGGCCAAAGGCTTGAAGTCAGTGTTTCACAAAGTAGGGTGTAGGACCTCAGCGATCCACTATGGCTTACAAAAGGGACAGAACAGAGTTAGGAGGGTCACTTTGAGTGAGAGTGGTAGAAAGTGAAGAAAACAGGGGTAGTTGTGTCAATGAGAAAAATAACAAAAGGTGCTATTTTCCTCTAAAATTCGGAAATAAATAATTTTTTATGTGTGAGTCCTAGCAAGGTAATCACTTACTTGCAAAGTTGGCTGTCAAAGAGTATTTTCCAGGGGAAGCATGTGAATACCCCCATGAAATTGGGGTTTCGAGGCTTTTTAGCTCATCTCTATAGAAGCATTTTCTTCTGCCCCAAATATCACCTGGCTGGGCATAAGATAAAGCAGGGGTCTGCAAAAGTGACACATCCCACATCATTTTTTGGACCTCTACAAAATCAGTAGATCTTGAAAAGAATGTCTGAAATTTCTACTATTTTAGAGTTTCTTTTAATGGAAAGAACAAAGTAGCCCACAGTGTTAATCGATATTTGCCCACATAAACACAAGGGTCCCTGGCCCGACACAATGCCCACAGCAACTTCATGCAGAGATAATTTCTCTTGCAAAGACATCTCCGGGATCAGAAAAAAAAAAATGTATTAATTCTTCCAAGAAGTATTAAAGTTGGCCTCATTATTATATCAGTCAAATAAGAGTTCCACTGCTAATGATGTTTTCAAATTATATCTGATCTATATCTGTGTAATGTCCTTTGTTCTTAAGCAAATGGCAACGAGGTGACACCAATCTATCTTTATGCATCTACATAGGTAAAAGGGTACACACTAAAGTCAATGCAATAGAGGCACAGCAGGATTTTCTGCCCACAGTATGTCCAGGAGAATTTAATTTATTTATTTTTTAACAACTAGAAGTGTATACACCTGGATTTCTCCTTTGCTCCATAGCAATGCATCAGTCTCCTAACTAGCATCCAAAAGCATGGCAATCTAGTAGTTTGAAATGCTTGATTTAGCATTTATCTGTCAGAAATGTGTTATTCTTTGTTGTTGGTTTTGGAGACAAGAGGGCATCAAGAGAAAGAAAGGCCATGCCACAAATTAAACGTATTTTGCTTGCTTACTAAATGATATAACTCTGTTTTTTTTGTCTCTGCATAAGGTAATAGAACATTTACATTTCCTTTACTTCATTTTCAAGACCTCTTCCTTAAAGTCATATGTAATATATTTGCCTGTTAAATTCTACAAGGTGGTGTTTACAAAACAAACTCAAAAAGTAAAACTCTCTTTACATGTAATGCATTTAAAAAGTGAAATAGGAATAAGATAATGAGATAAAATTTTAATTGTAATGCTTTAAAACAAGTTTTCACAAGTGGAACCTTATATGCCTACTTTCAGCTAAATCCAACAAATAACAATTTGTAATGGCAAACTTATTTCTTTTACTATGCAAAATCCATCCACATTTTCATATCCTGCATCTTATTTTGTTACATTATATATGTGGTTAGTTTTCTAGTTTATTTAATTATATTAAAATCATTTAACATCTGAAAACTTAACTAAATCTACATCTTACAGTATTATCATGATTCTGTCCTGTTACATACATGCTTTCATAATCATCTTTTCTATTACCTTATGAACTATGCATACTAGTTAAATAGTCAACAATTACAGATGAATGAATAATTCAAGTTTTGAAATAAAGGTTAGATGACCCTAGAAAAACTTGTATTTACAACCTTCCCTGTCAGGCTTAAACCATTTTCATTTTTGCTTCATTTTTGACACTTCAAAAAGCACACTGATAGTTCTTTCTTCATCTAGAAGCAGAGGCTCACAGTCCTTTTACTGATTTTTCCCTCATATTAGAATTATGCACAATCTTCATGCCATGTCCTTCCATTAGAAGGTATTAGCTCACACACGATAACATTTAGAAGAACACTATTTCTTCTCTCGAGTTTCAGTTATTCAATCACTCTTACTAATCTACAAGAATATCTGGTTTTTAGTTTGTACCTCTTAATAGAGTTTGAGGTTTGTATTGATTTTTATGCTACTTCAAGAATGTTGCTGGAAAAAGGAGTCTCATCCTAAACTGTGCTACTAATATTATTCAGAAAACCAAGAGCTGCTGCAAACCCAACACCTCTTTGTGGTGCAGATGCCTTGTGGTTCTAGAGCTACCCTGGATTAGAGGACATTTCTCATCAGTTTAAGAGCTACTTTCTTTAAACAACCGTTTGGCTACAAAGTTTTTCCATGCCTGAAATTAGGTTCCCCCAGGATAAGTGTAATCTACAACACTGGGTGATTTTAAAAAATATAGTCAGTATAATTTTAATATTAATTTTTCTCAAATTCATATAATTGATTCTGCATATTTCTATTGTTAAAAGTGGCCTCTAGAATTTGATATTCCAAAGTATTTTGAAGTCTTTAAGTGGCATTTTAAAATTTTACTCTACTGGGTTAAACAAGTTATTCTCTGGAACAAATAAAGCTACTGCCTCCTTCTTATATACTCTCAAATATGTTTTCTTAGAAAGGACAAAAACAAAACAAAACAACTGAAATAATTACATACTACAGAAACCATTAAAAAGGAACAGTAAAGTGGTGCTATTATAAAGCATTTTAGGTCATTTTGGATTATACTTCTATCCATCTCTAGGTATCACCTTAGTGTAAGAGTCTTGTGTTCTTAGGAGTTAAGAATTAAAAGTCAATTTTTTTTTCCATCTCCAAAATAAAAAATTCTGTTTTCTGTATCCCAGTAGCAACCATATGAATATTGTAAATCAGAAAGAAAAAGTCAAGGTATAGCATGCAAAAAAGTGATGAGTTAGTGTGGATTTATCTAGAAAGGGACGCTTATATTCAGTTTTTCAAGAGGACTGATATGAAGGCCCTTTTCCTGGAGATTTATCTGAATGGCTGAGAGAGCTCTGAGCTACCAGGTTGTGGTGCCTGGATCATTTTGAGTCTTTAACCCTGGAACATATGTGGGTACACTTCACCACAATTGATCTCACAGACCCCTTTCCTGCTCTTCCCAGTCAGCCTCATTTCTCCCAGCTTAGAAAGAAGCCAACCTCAATGTCTCCAAGGTTCTTGGCCTTAAGACCACCATCTGCTGTTGATTTAATAGTGAAGTTTAGAATCCCAATAGACCAGATAGCCAGTGATGCAACATCCTTCTAGACCAGTTTTGTTTGAATGATAATACTAAAACTATTCTATTTGTCAGTTTCAATCATTTGAAGAATGTTTAATTCATGTCCCAAACGAGTTCACAGGAGATCTCTTACTAAATGAATGATATGAGAGTTATTCACAAGACAGTTCATGCAATCTGATTCCTTGAACTCATGAAGAAATGAAAATGTCATTCCAATTAAATCTCCTAGACTATAACATTGGAAGTCAGGGATGATATTCCATTTATCTAGGTGTTCCCCACATAGCACAACTATTTCAGTAGGCTCTAAATAAATAACAGTGAAATAAATGAGGTTTGGATAGGCGAATGGACTTGCTTTTTCAAAGGAAAAAGAAACATATATTTCCTTTTTCTTTAAACTCTCTCTGCTTTACCAATAGATATTTTTAGTCTAATTGATTTCTTTCATACAATTGACTCTGATTTGGTCCCAATACATTAACCCTAGAAATAAATATATTTTAAAAATCTAAATGTATTGGGGTAGAATTTTCTAGGAAAAAAAAAACATATCTAATTTTCCTAATTTTTGATGTGAAGTCCCCTTTTCCTGGAGACTCATCCCTGTCATTTGTTCTGAACATTCATCTTTCAGTAAGTATTCTTTCAAAATGTTACATAATAAAGATGGTTCTCGTGCTAGGATGCAGTGTGTGAGAAAAGGAGTTATTATATAAAATATCAAAAAATTAGTATGTTGGGTATTAAAATAATTGCATGAGATAATATTTCACATTTATTTACAACTTTTGACCCAATGACCTATTCATAAATTCTTTTTCTTGAGTGTTTTTTCTTTTTATTATACCAATTTATATGCAAAGAGTTACCTTCTACTTAATATAAATAGAGTCTCATACTAGAAATTCCATGGAATTCCAGCCAATCCTTACTTGCATTCCTTCTTATGGCATATACAAACTGAACAAATTTCCTTGCGTGGTAAATATGATATCATATGTAGACAATGTGCTGACCTCTCACCATAATCCCTGGATACCGTTGCAAGGTCCTAATTTGTTTGGTTTGGCATTTCCACAGTCTTTATTTTAGCTTTTAAAAAAAAAAAAATGTACTTAAATTAAGTAATTTGCTGGTTGCTTCCATATTGCTTCATTCAAAATCCAGAATGGAGTTTAGAAAAAAGAACAAATAAAGTTACAGCTTAAGTGCAAACTACATTTCTGAGTATCTGCCAGGTGGACATACCCAATCCAGTGTGTTTCTTCCAGTTCAATGGATTCTCCCATTGGACCACCCCTGAGAATATCAGTAGTTTTGTTGAACCACATAGAACTGTCTCTTAGTTTCCCTTCTATGTTAAGATTACTAACTGCCTATCAAGTACTGTCACTTATGGAGATGAAGAAAATGTTTTAAAAAAATGTAGAGGATGGGTGAAGAATATATTCAGTAGTGTGAAACATGAAAGGTATACTTGATGCTACATTTGACTAATATCCTGGCCTCCCCTTCTAATTTTAAAGACTGTTTATTTAAAATAGGGGTCACTTCACCATATTAAAATATTTCTTGTGTAAATTCTTTCAAGAAGCTTTGATGTAAACATCATTGCAATTAGAAATTAAAGCCAAAAATAGAGAAGAAACTAATATAGAAGAATAGGCCAATGCAAAACAAAATGAAAAAAAAAAAAAGCCTTCCAAATATAATTACTAGTTATAAATTTGATGAAGATTTTTAAATTGTGAAAGCTGAGTTGGTCATTCTTACTTGCAGGGCAGAAACTCTTGGGGGGAAAAGTTGGTTTCTCAATTTCAGAGTCTATCACATGTTATAGAAAAAGGTATTCTTTTGTTCTAATGGAAACTAATTTCCAAGGATGCGGAATATGCACACACATCAGTTCCTACAGATAGGAACGGACAGCATGGGTGTTTCAACCATCTGCATTAAAAAAGAAGAGGAAAAACAAAGAAAGAAAGAAAAAGAAAAAGAAAAAAAAACTTGACAGCTAGTTTGACAACAGGCAGTATTGCCTTACATTTTCTGGTCCTTCTCTAGCTGCTCCTTGCTCCTAACCAACCCATGCAGAGAAATGAAGAAACAATGTGGTTCCTCCTGTCTTCCTCTTTCAGTCCTTCCTTCTAGTGTTCAAGTTAGATAAGCACATAACTATCATTACATTTCTATATCTTCCGCTGGGAAGTGTCAAAACTACTGGCCTTGGGGATAGAAGGAAGACTACCAGAGAAAGAGAGGGGGGTGGAGAAATTGGAGTGGGTGTGTCTCTCCAGGTTAAAACCACAGCTGAGCTTACACCACAGTATTCCGGTGTCTGTAGGGTGGAGGGGGCAGCACAGTGCCTGGCTTCAGCGAGAACTCAGAGAGGTATTCAGGATTCTCTGCCACAATAGGCCGGATCCGTCCATTCTGTTTATAAAAATATTTTGTGCTGTACTCCTGCAGGTAGTCTGGGTGCTGAAGGGTGCTGCGAGGTGGCAGGCTGTGGTTCCAGTAGTCAGGGTTGTCAAACGCTTTCTTGGCTTTCTCTGGCACAGACAGTACGTTGTTCTTCAGGTACTCGGCCTTTCCCAAGGCGTTGGTGAACGTGTTGAGGTACAGCGGCTCGTTCACATACTCATCCTCTGCCTTGGGTGGACCATTGGCAGCATTGTGATATTCGGGATTATCCAACGCTTGGAGGTCTCCATTTTTCCTCCGAGAAACAAAGGGGTTCTCCTCCACAGGATTCAGGTATTCTAAAGGAATACAAAAATAGCAGTTAACCTTGACTTTCTGAAAAAATGGTCATCCAACCAAACTTAGACACGATGGTGATCTCCTTTGTCTAGAATAAGAAAGTCATGGATTTGATTTCATGAATTCTCACAACTCTTTGTGGATTACTATTGCTATATGAGAAAAAGAGCCAATGGGCAAAAAATGTTAATGATCTATCAAGGTACCCACAAGGCCAGGATCAGGATTCCTATCTCCTACACTGGACTTTCCTTTAAAACAAAAATTTGTTTTTAGGGTTTGTGTCTCATTCTGTCACCCCGGCTGGAGTGCAGTGGCATGATCATAACTCATTGCAACCTCAAACTCCTGGGCTCAAGCCTCCTTTCCTTCTAATTGCATTTGTTTCTTCTGTATATGGGGTCAGTTGTTTAAATGTTTTCATTCTCTAAAAGTCAGTAATGTATACTGACAATAAGTATGTCTATCAGGGTTAAATAGACCTTAAATGTAGAAAAGTAAGAATGCTTATAAAGAATATTGGAAAGCCAAAGGATCTATAGCTTAACCCCATGCCAAGATAAATTGATAAAGTGAAAGAATAATGGTCCTTAGGCTATATGGTTTGCTGTGAATGCCTGTACAGGGAACAAACATTTGACTGGAGATGCTCACCAAAAAGCTTTCAAACATGAGAAAGTAAGCATCTAGAAAAAAACTCAACTAATAAAGCAAGTCTGATATCTTAAATGCCTCTAGTTGACTTGCTTGACCTTGCATATGCTTAACAAAAAAGTATAATTATAATATTTATTTTCATTTCCCAATCATAATCACAAAATAGCAAACTATTGTCTGAATTTTATGAAATTGCTATTTTGTACATTGAAACCAGTCAATTAGTGCCTATTTTGCGTGGCTCATTCTAATAAATCCTCCTAACATTTGACCTAAAATTTTTAAAAATGCTGATAATTAGTGCTGCTCTCCTCAAGCTTAATTTTACCTCTATGTCTATAACATAGAATACATATAGGAATATATTCACATGTATTGTAGACCCTCTTTCTGTCCTCTCTTTTACTGTGCACAGAAACCTAAGCTATTCCTATCTTGGACATCAAGGGCTTGAAGAGGGCACAATTTTTGTAGCGATGCCCACGTTCTGAAATAAACTTTCTATCCCATATATTTAGCCCAACTTTGAGAGAGCATAATCCGGTCAAGCCAGGTTTATTTTTTCCTGAATATAGCCATATTGAATAGAGTTAAGTTTTCAGCAACATTTATGCCAGATAAAGGGCAGTATTAAATATCCTGCTACCAGATATCTACAATATAGTCATTTACATGACATTATCATTTTTATCCTCATAACAATTCTGTGAAAAAGGAAATGCAAGTCTTATTTTTACAGCTTTATAGACAGAAAGATGAAATTAAATGATTCATTTAGAGACACCATTAGTGTTGGACTAGAATTCAGGCCTTCTAACGCCTACTGCACAATCTTCTTGTTCTACTTCACCAATCTTATTATTGCCCTTGTAGGAGCAGGGTGAACTTTACATGTAGCAACAAGTTTTAGTTCAAAAAATGTACAAGAAAGGTAGAATTTAATCTGTCTTACCAGATTCTTAATTTAAAGTGTAGGAATGTCTATGCTAAAACTCTATGACTAGGTTAGACTATAACAACCTTCCTTTTCTTTCTTTCTTTCTTTTCAGAGGTCTCACCAAGTTGCCTGGGCTGGTCTCAAATCCCTGGGTTCAGGCAATCCTCTCACCCCCACCTCCCAAGGTTCTGGGATTACAAGAGTGAGACACCGCACCTTCCTAACATTCCACAGAAATGGATCTCAACGTTCAGAGATAAAATATGGGAATATTATTTTACAGTGAGACTATATAGACTTACTTGATTTTCTCTTAGAAACCTTGTATTACCTTTTCTCAACACAATCAACTTATCTATTACCCTGATGCTTGTATAGTTGTGTAGTAATTTAGTGGTTGAGATGAAATTCTTCCCAGAAAGGATTCTGCGTTGAAAGGAATCTCCCCAATCTTTACAGAAACCTACATTTGTGTCACTAGTAGGCTTCTAGAAACATCCAGCTCTTCATTGCATTAAAACACACACAGGCACACGCGTATTTTAATAGGCTATTTAAAATATGTACTTAAGGCTCTCAGAAGTGTATATTATAGGAGTGAACATAACCATATAGAAAGGACACATTAGGTCTTACATGAAGGTGCCTCTCTTTACGAGAGGCTTAAAACATATTTTACTGTTGAAATTGAAGACTCGGAGAGCTATGCTCATCATTTTTTAAATAATAATCATCTATCCTCTTTGTTTTGTGATGCTGTTAGCATAGGACAAAAAAGAGGTTTTTTTGTTTTTGCTTGCCAGAACGTGATGTGGTGTTTAACATTTCTACTACTAAATTTACAAAATCATCATTGCACTTTGTAAAACCACCAACTATTATTTTCAAGACGTGGCTGTATCTTAGGGTTTAAACTCCAATGTTTGAAAAATATCATGCAAAAATCAATCATATTTCCTGTAATAAACCAGGTTATTTAAGCGACACCATTTTAATGCAGCCGCCAAGTCTTTTATCGGCATCAGACACTTTTGCCAACAGCACCAGTCGTTAGGGTCTCCACCATCAAGTCCAATAAAACAGTGGCTGTGAAATCTTGGAATATGCTACTTCATTAAATTATTCCCATCACGATACGCTTAAGTTAGTGCTTTTCAAATGTGACCGTGCACACAGAAAACCTGAGTATCTCGTGAAAATCCAGCTTCCTGTGGAGATTTCTTTATATAAGGAGGTTCTGACTGATACAAGCAACAATAAAACTCAGCGTCCACCCTGCAAGCCGCCGTAGCTCGGGCCTTTTCTGAGTTGCCGGCGTCACCCAGCCCGGCCGGGGGGCGACTTCTACTCTGCGCTTTGCTCCTCTTGACCGAAGGGAGCCGCGGACGGCAGGGGTTTCCGGACATTCGGGGTGTACCTTGCTTGGGCTTGTCTCGCCTCGGCGTCAGGTAACCTTCTCCGTCCAGCTCGCCCCGGGGGCTCCGTTCGGGGGCAAACACCGTGGGGTCGGCGCTGTACCTCTGAGTGCCGCTGTCCTCTGGGACGTGGGGGGCCGCTGGCTGGCGGAGGGTGCCGTTGCAGCAGGCGTCGTCGAAAAGCTCGGCCGGGGCCCCCCGCGCCACCGGAGCTTCTGGCAGGGGGCTGGTGGCGGCCCGGTGGGGCACGGCCGCTCCTTGCTCGGCGGCGCAGCCCCCCTCTCGGTACCCGAACTGGTTCTGTCGAGGGCAGAAAGACACGGGGAGAGAAGCTGTCGTGACCGTGAGTTGTACGCGGCGGACCCGGGGGACCGAAAGGAGACCGAAGTCAGACTCTCTGAGAATAGTGAGAGCGGTTACTGATTTTTTTTCTCTCCCTGGTAGCTACTGGATTTGAGCTGCAGACTAGAAACCCTTGAGATTTCCATCTTTCTGAAAAGCTACGTGATTGGAAAATAATTTGGAAATACGCATTTTAATTTTACTCCCCAACCAACACGGGATCTGGGAAAAAAAGTATGTGGTACTCTTTTCCCGCAAGTGCTGAAATTATGTTAATTGCTACAATTAATATAAAAGACCAAGGGAATTTTTACGGCAAGAATTTTGTAGACAGTTGTCATGCGTAGAAGTACCCTGATATATTTTGAACGGTGTTATTTCCTGATTGCTTTTTATTCCGTAGCTCCTCTGAGTCTGCCTTCCTAGAGAATCATCACGAGAGTCTTACTTTTTTAGTACAGGATCCGTAATCATAGGAGTAAAGATTACCACCTCATCCACAAGCATAATTTAGAAGCCCAGGTAAATCCTTTAGATAAAAATTGAAAGCTACTGCTGACGCATATCTAAATTTTAGATCATCTACCGAGATAAAACACATCTTCAAAGGCAGCTGCACACTCTACATCTAATTCTTAGCTCACTGTTGGCAAAGGCAAAATGAGGAAATTATGTGGAGACAAGAGAGAGGAAACATGGCAAGCCAAGACCAAAAAATCCTAAAAGATGAAGGGTTGATTGTGAAATACTTACTCCTGACATGGGGGTGTAGGCAGGAGGAGGGCTGTGTCCAATTTCACTCTAATAGGAAAGAAAAATGGGATGATGGATATAAGAAGAGGCAACGTGAATGAAAAACTTAAGAAAAGAAAAAGAAAAGCCACATGAGTCATATGAACCAAAGAGGAAAAAAACGTGCACAACAGTGAAGTTTCCTGACAGTAAAATTGTATGCATTCTGAATACAAGACAGCTTTTTCGTGGGTCTGAGGAAATTAAATATTTTAATTTATTCCCTGAGAAGGAAAACAATACAGAAAAAGTAAAACTTTTCAATGGATTAAAATGATCCATTATAAACATTATTCTGATTAACCCTAAAGGAAAGGAAAAAAACAGTAAATAATTAGCTGCAGTCATAAATGAGGAACGGTTTTCTTCCTTACATGTCAAATGACCATGCACCATAGTATTAAGAAGAAACATGTCTTGTAGGAGACTCAAATTTGTCTGGAATAATTTTCGCTATTGGGCTACAATTAATTTTCACCATTTCAGCAAAGGTTCAACTTTTTAGTCTCTTCTTATAAAAAGGTACATCTTATTTTATCTTCAGTCTCACTTTTTTGTTTTTTAAGTTAAGAGGCAACAGAAAATTTGGAAAATCAATCCCTTTTCCTGAAAATATGCTTTAGATTACTTTTTATGTATTTATAATCCGTCAAAACCAGATTTCAGTTAAAGAAACAATAACAAAAACACATCTGTATTTTTAAAACCTAACACTCCATCCTATGGGCTAAATGAAATGGATATAAAACATGATAAAATATTAAGACAATGTTCCTTAGGGTAAGGAGAAGGGGTTGTATGAATACCAACTCTGTTTCTTAATAAAACACATAATTAAGTACACTTCTTGGGAACTTACTGTCTGTATGCCAGACACTTTTCTAGGCACTGGGGATAATGAATAATATAGACCAGAATCATTGATTCTATGAGGCTTGCGTTACCTACCTTCCAGCTTTAAGTGACCAGAGATGACTAAAATAAACTTCCAGGACACCTACATCTTTTTTTTTTTTTTTGAGTTGGAATCTCACTGTCGCCCAGACTGGAGTGCAGTGGCCGCTCCCGGCCACCACAGCCTCTGCCTGCTGGGCTCTGGCTATCCTTCTGCCTCAGCCTTCCAAGTAGCTGGAACTACAGGCGCACACTACCACACTCAGCTAATTTTTTTTTTTTTTATTTATTGTAGAGATGAGGTCTTGCCTGCCCAGGCAGGTCTCGAACCCGCGGGCTCAGGCAATCCACTCACCTCAGACTCCCAAAGGTGAGGGATTACAGGCTGAGCCACCGAGCCTGGCTAAATGTAGCTAAATATTATTTCAGATCATTATTCATGTAATATAGATTCATAGCATAATCTAAGATGGAAATAGTCCCGTGGAGATGAACTATTTAATGTAAATCAATAACAACTGGATAATGCAATTTTCCTTTACTGAATTTGTATGCTGGACTAGCCAAAGAATAAATTCTGAGTCCCTGTAGTGAATTTACCTCTTAATTTCCCCAAAACTATGATGGTAAAGAGAATATTTATCAATTTCCTTCTCTAATTATTAACAACATATTACTAACAACACATTGAAGAGTATGACATGGAAAGTTAGACATATGTTTAATATGCAATGCATAAGAGACGGTGCTATGCAGCAGATAGATCATTTTATGACTGTTAGAAGCCCCAGGCTCTAGTTCCAATTACAAGTGGCATGAAGTTGGTCAATCATTAAACATCTCAGACCCTCATTTTCATTTCTGTTCGCTCTATTTTATTCTTAGTAAAGATAAAGTAAGATAATGTCTATAAATTAACTTTGTAAGCTCTGCACTATTATATAAATATAGAGGATATGCCAAATTTAAATGTTCCATCTGCAACGTTGAATTTTTAGACTAAAACAATAAGATGCCAAAGCTACTCATCAAAAAAGAGGCATTTTATTTTTATTTATTTTATTCTATTTTATTTTATTTGAGTTGGAGTTTCACTCTGTTGCCCAGACTGGAGTGCAGTGGCATGCTCCTGGTCACCACAGCCTCGACCTGCTGGGCGCAGGCTATCCCTCTGCCTCAGCCTTCCAAGTAGCCGGAACTACAGGCATGAGCTACCACGCACGGCTAATTTTTGATTTATCGTAGATATGAGGGCTCAACAAGTTTCCCGGGTGTGTCTCGAACCCGCAGTCTCAGGGAATCCACTCGCCTTGGCCTCCCAAAGTGCTGGGATTACAGGCTGAGCCACCGAGCCCAGCCAAGAGGCATTTTAAATGCTACCTGTTTTCTAGTTATTTTAAGTATAGACACATTTTGCTGTCTTTTGGGAATGCACAAAATCAAATACACTTGTTCCTAAAATTTGAGAAAGGAATTTATTATATACTTCAGTGATTTGAAAAATACAGCGATGAAACAAGACACACTGGCAACTGCCTGGTGAAATTTTATCAAATTACAAGCACTGGCCTTACCCTCATCATTTATTATTTAACAAGCACTTAGCAAATATTTATTAAATCTCTTCAGCAGAGCATAGGTACCCTGGAAGATGCTGGAGATCCTGTGAAACATTAGGAAAGACATGACCACTGGCCTTTCAGAATTTATCATGCACCATCAAATATCATCTGAGATTATTAGAAGGAAAGACAAGAGTGAAATGAAGCTGGAGCGAATTTATTTCAGTTCTATGATTATCTATTAGAGGGCAAGGCACTCCAAAATATTTGTAATTGCTAGTGTTCCTTTGACCTTCTTCCAAGAGTTGCTCGTGCTGGGGACGTTTGTCTAGAGTTGCAGCTGAGGGAACACTATTGATTGCAGCACATTTTATGTTTTTTAAAACTTGGAGATAAATGATCAAAGGAATAACTTACAAGCCATTCTTCATCAGGAAACAGTATATTATCTATATTCATTATCTGGACTAGAATGCCTTCGATTGTAAAGGCGATGTGTTAAAAATAACTGGACCTCTTGCAGTTCGTTCGTTCCAAGACATGAAGCGAGGCCATTCCCTATTAGAATGCATCCACTGTCCCTGCTTTGACAAGTCTTTCAGTCAGCAACCTGCCAACTCTCTATCTGGACAGACTGCCAAATATCATCACAGTAATAGGAGCGTCTTCAGGCTTTTTCCTGTTTTCAGCATTAAAATGAAAAAAAAATGCTAAGCAAACCCCCTTTAGCATTCATTGTTTTTAGGGTTACTGGCTGTTTTTTGTGTTTCTGTTTCCATTTTTTCAGTTTGCTTTTTTATCTGTTTTCCATGATAAAAAGCACCTCATTCATTTCCCCCTGGAAGGGCAATACAGCTCTAAGGGAACATCTGTGAGGCCAATTAGCTGGGTTGGAAATGTGATATAATTGTTGTTTAAATATATTTAAATTACATGTTAATCACTATGTCATAATTTATAAGCTTTGAAAATAACTTTTTGTACTTCAGAGCCAAGCCAGATTTTACTTGTTTTCGCTGTTTTTAGTTTGTAACAAGCGCTTCTCATTTCTCTCTCCCTCAATTCCCCACACTTGAAGAGCTGAACTTTTAATATTGGAAAGAATGACAGCTGCAAGTAAATTGGTTGAGTAAAAATTAAGATCCTCACAGCAGTCAGAATGAGCTAGAGTGACCTTAAAGTTCTAAGAGGAACAAAGCAGTGCTCTCAGTTAAAAAGCTTTTGTTTTTTATCATGCCACTTTCTGCTGTCCATCAAAGTCCAGCTTTGTGAAGCTTTAGAAGGCAACACTGGGTGTATCTGTTCAATTAGCTGGTGAGGCGATTTACTGTCAGTAGGGCTCAGACAGAAAGAGGTAGGTTAGGAGCTTGTCGGTTATATGGAGCTTGTTTCTGGTGGGAGGATTTGTAAGAGTGATGGAAATAATTGAGTTTAATTCAGCGGCCATATCACTGGGATGTTGTATGATTAACTTGGACGAGAAGGCCAGAGATTATAGAGAAAGCAAGTGTCAGCAAATAAATCAAATATAGTGTTAATACCCTAAAATTTACTTTTTAGTTGAATAATACATATTTGAAGCTTCGTTTCATTACATGCACACTATTTCTGTTTGTATTTTTTAATATTGTTCTTGAGGAATTTTCAACTGTTAAGTACATGGACTGTGTCTTGTGATATTTTTAAAAATTATTATGCAAATCTATCGACTTAGGAAACAAAAATACATGCCTAACTGCTATCTGAATTAAACATGCACTTAAGAGAGTTGTTTTGTAATCTTTAAATAATTATGAATCTCAATAGTAGTAACTATAGGAATACAGTTTCTAGGGTCAGGAAATTTAACTAAGATAGAATGTGTTTCTGTAAGACATTGTTAATCCATCAGCACTCATTTATTGTCTAGACACTTCCACATACTGACTATTAAGGTTCTCAACCTTTTATCCTCCCTGACATATATGCTTAACACTCGGGTGGGTTCTTCCACACTTTCACAGGTCACGTAGCATCAAGCAGAAAATGTTTGCATTACTTGTAATTCCAGATACAAGTCTGTTACTCTGCATCTTTCACACAACTGATTCCAACATATCAGTGTTTTGAGACATTTGGATTTAGAACCCTCATTTTTTTTATAGGGCAGCCAGATGAAAACAAAATGAGTCCCTGTGTGCAAAAAACCAATAAACACTGACTTCTTTAGCAGCGACCGAAACGTGTGTGTGTGTGTGTGTGTGTGTGTGTGTGTGTGTGTGTGTGTATTACACATGCTGCCTTTTGTCTATCTACTTGTCTATTTGGTTTGATTATGTGAGATTACTTTTATAATGAAAATCTCTTACTCTGTACACACATACACACACACAATAATGACCCTATGATCTAGTTGAAGGGATATTGACTTGGGCTTCCACTGTTTATCTACTTTTCATTAATCTTGGAACTGTTCATCTTTCTTATATGTCTCATCTACTCAATAACTACAACAATTTTAAAGAAGAGGAGCTATAAGTGGTATCAATAAATATGCACAAGCCAATACTGAAC